GTAAGGGAGAGTAAAGGTTGATGGAGATGGGGTTTGGATGAAAGAAGTGTAATTTAAAACAATTTTGATTGTGAGAGCAGACATTGTTGATTGGAGAGCAAGATATCTTGTCCAAATGAGGAAGTTAAGGGAAGAAGACAGAGAAAGAGTGTATATTGACAAAACTTGGATTGACAACAGTTTAGTATTTAAAACGTGCTGGCAGCATGATATAATTGGTGTAGCAGCAAATACAAGTGCATCAGTTAGACTTATTGTAGTTCATGCCTATGGAAACAATGGTTTCATTAATGACGCACAACTAATTTTCAAAGCCAGTTCTGCATCTGGCAACTACCATGGTCAGATAAACCAAGAACATTTTTTGAAGAGTGGGTGAGAGAAAATTTATTAGAAAAACTGCCATCTAAGGCAGTAATTGTTCTTGATTATGCTCCATATCATCGTGTGATAGCTGATAAAACCCCAACTGCATATGCATTAAAGCACAATATATGTCAGTGGTTGAAAGCTAAGGGAATGCATGTTGATGAAAACCTGCAAAGAGGAAGCCTGAATTATACCAACCAGTTCTGCAGGTAAAACTTCAGAACAAGACATACTAACTTGATGAGGTGTTTACCAGGGGGTCATTCTGTCATTCACCTTCCTCTTTACATGTGTGAACTGAATCCCATTGAAATGACATGGGTAAAAATCAAGAGACTTAAAAAGGAAAGAAATTTAACTGAGGTCATGTCAACAACAAATTGTTTAAGCTCACAAACCAGGCAATCACCCAAGTCACTATTGAAGAGTGGAAGGGATACTGCACTCAAGTCACAAAAATTAATACTGGGAAACAGATGGTAAAGTGCCAGACATTATATAATATTATTATATAGTATTGTTATAAAAGAGACTCGGATAACGAGTGTGAAGAAACTGAAAATAACGATAGTTCATCAGTGTACAATGATTAGGTAAGGTCAATGTTTTTAACTCAATTGTGCTCACCATCTCTTCCCCTACTCCGTGCCATTGCTTCTTTTCTGTATCCCCACTCTACCCCCTCTCCTTCACTCTGTGACAGCCAAATGGGATGGCACGATGTCACAGATCCAGACATCAGAACTTGACTGTATGTACGGAACAATGCAGCTGTTCTTTCCGTGTTGGAGATTAACCTTTTTCAACAATGATTCTTTTGGAAATGTGAAAAAACACTTATTTACAGAATTCATTTAATTCCATTTTAAAAATAACCAATTCTACAACAGGTATTGGAACTACACAATTCATTACCAAAAGTGGTTGTTTCAACACCTATTTAAATCACTATAAAGAAAGGAGTACAAAATGTATTAAATTCAATTTGTGTTCAATGATCTTATAGAAAAATCAGTAATACAATTATAATTAGAACATAAAAGTTTGCTAATAGAATAGATAAAAGCTTCTGAGGCTATGCTTCAGAAATAAGTTTCTCACTGTGTAAGTGTAAGTTTTCTTGAATTAAATCATAGAAGAACACAAGTTTTGTTTTTTTGTATAATTAAATACGTTTGTCAATATTCTTACTTTTTGATAATCTAATTAGTTGATGTGGGGGAAGATTAAATGACAGAAGAAGCTGGCCATGGAATTCAGCCCCCCCCATTGTCACTATAGTACTGTCATGTTAATGAGGTGCCAGTGCAAAAGTTATCAGTGTCATCATGGTATCACCATTGATGAATAGAATGGGTGTTGTTCTATGGTATCACTTTCGATCACAAAGCACCAAGAAAATGAAAGGAAGCATTAGAATACAAAACTATGGAAAAGTGAATAAATATAAAAATATTTTTTGAAATATTTTGCAAAAATGTTACTAATACATACATAATATATAATATACTTATCTGTTCTAAACCCTGCTATTTTTTGGATAACTATGTGGCACATACTGAGAAGAATTACCTTGTAACTGGGGGGATTAGTTGCATTACAAGAGGTGGGTTGGAGACCGTGGTACCAGTTGATGTTTAGCAAATATTTTTATCTATCTTATTTGCCACGTTTGTATCTGTGTATGTGAATGCACTCCCAATTCTCTCTGAATATAAATATTGTATAGTTACAAAGCAGGTAGTTTTGTAATGGTTTGATGGTGATGGGAGTTATAGTAAATAGTAAGTAGTCATAACTGAATTTTAATTATTTTAATTTTTCTCATAATTAATGTCCAATTTTTATCTTAAATTAATTTCAGAAATTAAATTTTTTTCGCTATAGATCATGGGTGTTTTATTATGTACTACATGATAAATAGTCTTTGCCTTTAGTCTTTTCTAGCAATTGCAGATTCCTTATTTTTGTATGTTTGAATATTTTAATTATTTATTATGCACGTTTTCTCTAATTACAATATTGAGAAGAATACTTCTCAGAAGATATAAGTTTTCACTTCATTATATCCACTGATTTTAACTTCCATTGCAATTTTCTTTTTAATAAATAATTTGGATTCTTCTTCATTAAAAGGAAAAACTTTTTCAATTATGTGAAGTTAATTTTTGATGTGTTCAAATGTGTGTTGAAAAAATATTTTGTCAACTTACACTCGTGTATATCAAAAATTAACTTCAGGTAATAGCAAAATATTCTTCCTTTAAAAAAAAAAAAAAAAAAAAAGATTAGAAATGCAGCATAAACGTTTCTTTTAATTCTATGATGCAATTCTATTCTAATTTTTTGAGGAGTATATTACTTACTTACTAAATATGTATAATAAGAAATTTTAACATAATGAGAAATTAAAAATTATCAACTTACGCTTATAGTTTAGGTTTGATAACCAATCAAATTAATAATATCGTTGGTAAAGTAAGATACCTTCTAATTATTAAAATAAAAAAAGGTGTTTTCTGGTATCAAATATATATTTAAGCCTAAGATCTTTTCAATAGCATAGCTATCATGTATCATCTTGGTGGAAAACAAAGTTCATCTTTGTTTTCCGCCCAGACACTGCAAGATTGCTCCGATGACGATAGCTGTGCAATTGAAAAGATCTTAAGCTTAAATATATATTTGATACTGGACATAATATTTTATTTACTTAATGAATCAAGTGTTGTTATCTAAGGTGTTACAGAATAAATATTGTTAATTTGTAGAATTTCTAATGTATAATTTTCTTTTCAAAATATATTTTCCTCCTTATTTTGGCAAACTGGGCTTTGAGCTAGTTAGTAGCAGGCTGTGGATTTTTAGGACATATGTTATAAAAGTAGTACTTAAGAAAGTAATTTCAATTTTATAGTTTGACTTTAAATAATCAAAGTGGATAAAATTTATTGAACTTCGAAGATGTTCAATACAAGATTTATCCTTCAAAGAAAACAACACATATAAAGGGACTTTGTTTTCCCATTTGTGTATTTGCTTTTACATAATTTTTTCACCCATGTTCAAAATGACTATTTGTAGATTATAAAGTTATTGAAGGTATGAAACCTTTCATTTTTTCTTACCTAAGTCTAAAATTTTCATAGTGAAAATGGAAAAGAATTGATGTTTTACAAATTAGAATTAATGGTTTAACTTCCTATAACAATCATTTAAAAACAAGTGTATCCAAATAATTCGTAGAGCTTTTCAACTCATGATGTACCTACTATCTTAATTGTAAGAATTGGCAGTTGGTGTTCATATTTAAGAAATTTACTTGTGAGTTATGAATCATTCGATTAACTCTGTGTATTTTGCCACTCAGTACTTGGGAATGTTTACTTTGAATCTTTTTTCCACAGATATCTTTTTAACTTAGTGTGAATAGTTTCCAAGATTGTATAATCCGAAGAAACCAAAATTATGAAAATAAAATATTAAATAGCAATTAAGGGTGGTTTTGTGTAAATTATATATGACTAACATTTCTATTAAGTATTTCTTTGCCTTGTTATGAATCATTGAAGAAATGTATTATAGTATATTATTACAATTTCACAACGAACTAAGCAAATCTATAAGTCAATACTCAAAATCATTGATTGTAATGATCAATCAATAGAAACATCAATTATCAAAATTGCAAAGCATTGTACAGAACATAAATTAATTTGACATGTCTGAACATGCAGGATCAAAAAGTGCCAACAAAATTCTGATAGTTTTAATGAGGCATACTGGGGCTTAGCAGTGTATTTGATGTTAATCTCCTGTCTGATGGCTTAATTTACTCAGTCACACATATCATCAACAGCATTTCGAAATTATTTGAATCAATTCATTTACTTTTTCATCAAGAAAATCCAGCCAGCTGCTACTGGTACTCGGTGACCGGCGGAAGAATACTTTTCACAGAGTGTTGTGGTCTTCAGCGAAATTCGTTTGTTGTGAATATGCCATCTCAAGGTTGTATTTCACGAAGATATAACAGTTACTTGAAGGGGAAAAACGAATATAGAAGCTGTCAGAAAAAATGATTACTGCAATGAAACTTCTGTAGGCAATCATATTTTCAATTCTTGGAAAGTACCGTTAAAGATATGAAAAATAAATGACTTTGTTGGAGATTCTAGTGTTAACTTATCTGTAGAATACTCTGGCATTATGAGAAAACAAAGGAATTGTTTGTGGAGGTACATTAAATAATTTAACCCCCATGGAAATCCAGGTCTTCTTAAACTTAAATTTTATATTTTCAACTTCTGTGCTTCACACATTTGACCTAATGGTCTAGTTGACTTTTTGCCAATTTTAATTTTTTTAAAGTCTACCAATATCAATATCCTGTTTTTTTTTTTTTTATTTATTTTTTTTTATTTTTTGAACTGTTATATTCTCAACATGGAATGCCTCCTTGAGATGGCACATTTGCTTTATTCACTGAAACTTATTTGTCTAGATTCTTACCTACATACCACACATACCTAGACATCTTTGGGCTACCTACTACTGCACCGGAACTAAGCAGCGCATTGAAAGATTAATGGCACTGAAATTATAACAGTTACTTGTGACATGCATGATATTTATTGATTCAAAATGTGGAGGGGAATACAAAGACAAGAAATAAATATATGATAAACAAAAATTCTAGTCTTTTCCCTAATATACTTTAACTCTTGTAATAACTGACCTACTAAAAAATGCTAAAAAAGAGAAGAAATTGTATAAGAATTGTTTCAAAGTTTTCAAGATAATTCCACTTGCTTTAGCACCTTATACCCGATCAGTTGACATGCCAGCTTGCTTCTTTATTTTGTTAATTAAATACGAAGTATATTCCTTATAGTTGATAGGAGACACGCTCACGATTACAGTTTTCATGCGCGATTCGTCCTGAAACAAACAACCAAAACCAAATAAGATGGCAATATAAAAATACAAAGTTCAAACTCCCATTTGCAGAATGAAGCTACGTAGCAAGTCATTGACAGAATGTCCAAATGATCACAATACGTCTTTGGAGATGTTTTGTTTTCGTTCTTTTTGGTTTGTCTGTGAAGGCGGCTCCATACATTAGGCATTTGCCGGGTAGCGAGCTACTGCTCGCCCAATCCCGAACAGCTGATGTGTTCAGCAAATGTTCGCTCCCTTTGATGTGCCTAAATACAGACATTCTGTGGGTAAGGCAAATACCAAATGTTCAGCACTCGACAAATAGCAAGCAACCCGTCCACACTACTCAAGATTCCCCAAATACTGCATGTGTGGAGCCACCTTGAGGTTATAATTTCTTGATTTCTTAGTAGACTAGCTTCCTGATATCCACAAGCCTCTCCTTGGGTTCCTAGAACTTTCCGCCCCTCTGCTATTTAATTAATTTTTCCTGGGATGGGACCCCCCCCCCCGTCCTTGATTTTAGAGGTTGCACATAGGCCCATCTTGGCTGTATGTAGCCAGTTCTGGGAAGGAAAGGGATTTGAAATGTGATATACCATGTTACAACACACTACATCTAAGCCTTAGCATGGATGTAGTGCACAATGCCCCAAGCCCCAGCGACATCCAGGCTGGACAGAAATAGAACAATGAGAGTTGGAAGGGTATACATGATTGTTGGGAGATAATCACAAGCAAACATCCAGGACTCGAACCTGTGACCCTTCAAGCCAAGACAGTCCGGGAACACCCAGCTTAAGGATCACGGCTGCCCAGGTCAGCTCTTTTGTAATTGCTTTCTCTCTTAAATAACCCAAGTTTTCAATTAGTACCATGCAAAATATAAAAATTCACATGCCCAGATATTTAAATACATAAGATAATTAAAGTACTTACATTGTACATTTCCATTTTGACTCTGAGCCTGAAAATAAAAGATTTGAAGGCAGCTCGAGTAAAGGGCTCAACAAACTCTTCTGGAAGATCTGTAAGAGCTCCTAATGCATCTGCTGTAGTTCCCAACATTACTTCAGCTGATTCTTGAAATGCTGATACCCACTGTTTGCCAGACCAGTCAGCAAGAGTTGCCTAGGATTATACAGTAATAATATTACTACTACAACTAATTATTATTATTATTTTCTGCAAAACATTATTTTGTTTTTTTAAGGTGACTAAGCAATGGCAAAAAATAGTAACTAAACTAATATTTATTGATGTGTAAAAACATAGATAACTTTAGTTTCACAAGCAGATTTCTTACATCAGACAAAAGCTGCAATAAATTCAGAAAAATTATTATATATAAAAACATACAAAATATTCCAATTAGAATAAAGGACAAAGGCATATAAGTTTTAAAATATGTATCATCAATCTATTCTGAGTACAAATCCACATAAATAACTCTGATGAAAAGAAAGAAGGAAAAAGAAAATAAACAAAACACAAAGCTGCCTTCAAAGCATCATCATGTTGCTGTCCTGCCAGCTGATGTAGGTAGATTATTGTGTCATGCAAGGAAGGAGACTTTACAAAAACTGAAAGCTTCTTGACTTAATGGAATTGTTAGAATGGTAAAGTATGTTGTCAATCAAGATTACAGTCTTTCAAAGCTCATTATAACCAATTTACCCTTAAATGTTCCCCACAGAAGATAACCCCATGCCTTCTCCTTTGAAAGGGCACAGGGTTAAGCCCAATCCATGAGGTTTTATACTGCCTATTTGTGTCCAGAAGAAATGTATGTTGACATTTTTTTAATATTACACTGGAAATATCACATGTATCAGCAATTCTTAACTGTATCCAGATGTATTGTTTGGCATCCTCCATCAATGAGCCTGGCAATTCAAAAACATTTTTTTAATGGGCTGGTAATGAATGTATGTCAAAAGAATGGCATAGAAGGAAGTGAGACCCAGTGTGAAAATGCAGAGCTTTTGTTATACTGCATACTGATTGTTGAGGTCGCACAGACTCTTGTCTCTGTGTTTTGTATGAGATAGATGAAAAAAATCACTTTTAAAGATAGATTCATTGTACATCTAACATCAGAAACACAAGAGAAAACAGAATTTTCTTCAAATTTTGAAATTGGCCACTCTCTTCTGCACTAGTTACACGCATAATGGAGATAAAAGAGTTCATAGTTTACAACTCAATCACGCAAACATTTCATGATACGAATTTCAAGTATACTGTTAGAGAACGTGAAAGAACTATTAAAATTTTGAGATGCCATTAACCAGAGCATGGCAGGAGGAAAATCTAGTGATTTGAAAAGATATGTTTCTAGAGATAGATGAAAGATGAATCCAAATTCAAATGAAGATAAAAATGAGAGGGTCAAAAATTATAATGAATTTAAAAAACAAGAAAATTGTGACAGCTCATGCAAAAGCTTTAAAACTCTCATCAACACGAAATTTTGAAGACAATTAGCAATTTTATTTCAAATGATAAGAATTATTTTACAATGCAAAAATATTTCATTCATATGGTCATCTTATAATTATCTGCATACAAATCTAGCAATAATAAGGAATAACGTTAATTAACCCTTTCAAGGTTGAGGATTTTTTCTTTCTTAAAAAAATTGAAGTTCTTTATGTTTTTTAATACAGCCACTTTATTTTTAAGCCCCAAAAAATGTTTTAAAAAATTATTCCATGTATCAGTGAGGAGTGGAATGGTGTGACGTATTCACCACACTCATCCTTATAGGAGGGTGAAAACTGTCCTGGGAGGAAAGAGGGAAAATATTCAACAAAGCAAACTTTTATTTGCCAAACATTATCACTTATTTCATAGTATCTACAATAACAGTAGAAAACAAATTAGTTCCCTACTTAGTTGATGATGTCAAACAGTAGAAAATTAGCATTCATTTTTTTGGTATGAAACAGTGTATTGCATTTCAAGCACAAACCAACATCATGCATCTTGAAACTACGACACTTTTGCTGTCATCATTTGCACACCTCTTTTTAATTTCCACTGTCCCAAGTAACCAATCAGCTCGATAGTAATGGATGTCGTAAAAAAATTGCAGGGTTCTTTTTGATGACAGCTGTTGGCCCCCAGATTTGACAGCTATTTTATACCTTTTGATGGCAAAGTCTCTTCTAAATTCCAGTTAAGTGATTTTACATCCTATCTTTCTGAAAATCTGTTTCGCATTATTTATCGCTGCATCTATGAGCTAAACCAAAATTGTCTAATACCATTTCTTACTTCTGATAAGATTTACGATAATGATTTATATCTTGATCCACATTTCAATTGTAATTGCTAAAAGTTCCTGGCTGAGTATTTTTTGTTTTAATCTCTCTTTTGATGAATTTATGTTCGACTGAAGATTCTCCGAATTGATGCAACTGCAACCACATGTTTGCTCATCTGTTTCTCAATCATTCCATAAGATCAACTGCCTCAGCTTCACTCACCAAGTTATTGCCGCTCAAATTATCCAGCAGACCTGAGTTTTCATCACCACTTACCAAAGTTAGCTCATCCACAGGCGATGGTGCAAGCAACTGAACTAATTTTGCTATAGTCAGTCCATCTCTAAAATGTCAGTATTACTGATAAAGTTTAAAAAAAATCTTATAAAAGTTCAGATTTCTGACTGGGCAATAAGACGAAGTGGAAGTATAATAATAATAATAATAATAATAAAAAATAATATTTATAAATTTTCTTTCATTTTTATTTTTTTAAAATTATGATTATTATTTTTATTATTAATTAATTAATTAATTAAATGATTATCATTACTTTTAGAACTATCTGTGATAGATAACCATTCAGGTAAATTGAATTCATAACAATATAGGCTACGATTTCAACTTATCAATGCTCAGGGTCTGTAAGAAAATATATCACTATTATTGAACAGAGGGGAAAAAAGAAACATAACACCTTTTTTGGGAAAGATCGCACAGTAAACTGACAAACCAAACCCTCTGGAGAAGAATATTCTTGCTCGTGCAGAAATCGACCTGCAGCTACAGGAATTAAGTTGTATCATAACTCATTTGCTGTGCCATATATGTCACACTTGTCTTTGGAGTTAAATATTCTCTTGAATTGAAATTTGTTACAGATTTTGTTTACTATATCTTCAACATATTGATGAACAGGAACCGTGTCTTTATTAAGTGTTGGCAGAGATCCCTTTCAGAGCCCCTTACTTTGGTTACACCGGACTAGCTATGCCCCTGAGAAACTGCCATAAGTTTTTTGCTATCAACTTTAGTTCTAATGTTACTGAGTGCTGCACATATTGTGTCAAGGGATGTACCGTATTTACCAGAATACAAGACGACTCCCCACTTTTGAAGAGGCATCCTGAGACTTTTTAATTAATTCTTACTACTTTGTCTATTAGTAATAATATTTCAAAATGTCTTATTGACTAGAAAATTGCCTTGTTGATGAGAACGTTAAGAGTAATTGCTGAACTATTATTTTATTGTTCCTTAATATCATCATGATTTTTGTTACTACCCTCATCCTCTTCACATTAATCAAGGTTTCTTTCTTTTTGGCGTTCCTTCCATGCTGTGATAATTTCTGACTTATCAGTCTCCTCTTGAAAGTTTATGGACTAAATTTTGTGTTGTTCATAGCCTTTCACCGGACACCATCTAAGAACATTTCCCTCTGTTGCCAGATTTTCTATCCTTCCCCCACGCGTAGATGCCGTCTGTATCTATTCAAAACTCAGATTCATATTTCTCGGGCGTTGAAGCAAGATTCCGCACAGAATCGTCGAACCCGTAAGTGTAACAAACTCTCGGCACTCATTTTCTCGTTACGTTTCATTTGATACAATGCCATTCAGCCACAGAACCTCTTTACCAGCCTATTTGTAAATATCGAACTGAATTCGGGGTGGATGACGAGAATAAGAACGCGAATAAAATTATGTCTACACGTGATATTTTGACAGTCTTCGCAACGTCAACATTAACAACTTTCACGACATGGAATGGCAATGTAAAAAGTTAAGTCCTAACCGAACAGGCTTAATCTGCGAATATAAGACGACACCTCATTTATCGACTGAATTATTATTTTTTTTTTTTTAAAAAAAAAAAAAGGTCATAATTTCGAGTAAAAACGGAACATTCATTAATCACTCTTTTATCAGTTAACACAAATCATTCTGCAGCAATGTGCAAAATACATGTGAATTTCCTTCATACTCAAAGTAAATGTGTGTGTGAGTGTGTGTACACACATGAGACTTGAGAAACCAGTTATTAACCAATTGTTTATTAAAGTTACTCGGAATTTGGATTGTCCGCAATAATAAGAAAAAGCCAAACAGGATCATCTACCACTCAAACTAGTTATTGGGGAAGAAAGCTAAGAATTACAGTGCCTGTTTAAAATCCGTTTGTAATGGACACAGTCTAGAAACCAATGCGAGATATCTACAATAAATGTAACAAATGTAAACAAATAATATTACAAATAATAGTTGAGATTAAAAAATTAATTCATAATTCACAGCCAGAAAGCAACAATTATAATTGGATTACAAGTTCCTCTGGGTCCGCTGGAATTTTCGTGCCCAGTTGTGTTATCAAAATTATTTTTTTTTCAGAAAAGGGATAAAGAACTTTTCCATACATTTTATTGAAATCGCTGTTGGTATTTGCAAACAACAACATTATCTGAATTAATTTACTTACCTGTACTAACAATCTGTACTTGTAGTCTTGGAATTCTTGACAACATTTCTCACAACGATAAGAACCATTCTGCAAATCAGTAACCTGAAGATAAAAAAAGGCATTTTATACCAAAATGACAATGAAATGTAAATATTCTACTCAACATTGAGCAAAGAATGCTAAAATTACAAACGAAAGGTATATTTCGTTATAAAACGTCTTTCCGCTGAAATCTCGGAATCGATTTTTCGTAGCATTACATACATTCTCCTATTCCTCATATATTAATCCGTATATACGTACGTATACTGGAAAGTGAAAATAATCGTTTTAACGATACATATGTAGAACTTACCAACCTGGGGTACCCTTGGAGGCTTGGAGGGCCGTAAATAAAATAAAAAACACTAGTGGTGCTGCAGAATGGCAGTCTTCCTCGTGTTAGGTTTCTAATTCCTTCGGTCTCAGCTAGCTACTCGGACTTACCACTTACTCTTGCCAGCTGCCATCTATCGCGTACATTTTTTTGGTTGCAATTTCTTACTTTTTGGTTTTTTTAATTGTAGAGCAAAAATAGTATTAGAAGATTATTGAAGATGAGTTAAAATTCCGTCCTGAATGGCAATTTTCTTTGAAAAATTTGGAGCCATTAAAAAAAAGATAGCGTTTAAAGCTACTGTAAATTCGAAATTTCAAGCTATTTTCACAGAAAATTTTTGAGTTTTCGAAAAACTTCATTTGAAGTCTTTTAATTACTTAACTCATAAGTGTAATGGTGTTTACAAATTGCTGGAGATGTGCACAACAACAGCATGAGAAACCTTTCAAAAAATGTACATTTGTGTAATTATTGAAAAAACAAAAAGTACCCTAGTAATTATTAAACACTATGGTATTGTAATATTCTAATATAATATATAAAAGCATTTGTTTTATTTCTGTGACTGAAAGCAGCTGTCATTATTGCGTTATCTGTGCGTGTTAGTGTGTTACATCAATGGGTAACAACAATCAACAATGACCACTTAACTATTCATTTCCACATTTAACAAAATTAAAGAAAACAATTTAAAATGAAATAATGTAAGTATATAATAAATAATAATAAAATAAAATATGAAATAATATACAAATTTTATCTGTCATAGGATCCATCGGCATAAATTGGGAGAGGGTGACTGAAGGCTAGCAATATTTATTTCATATTTATTTTAAATAATTTCTAAAAGATAAATTTGTAAAGGAATAACAAAAGCTCCAATGTAAGAATTACGACTAAGACACGCAGTACTTTCAGAGAGGGTGACTAATTTTGATACCCAATTACTTTAAAAATACTCATAGTTTCGAAAATTTTAACATGACCTGATTTGAAAATTTGTTTTTCATAAACACATTTCATTAAGGAAAAAATAATTTTCATAATTGTAATTGTAGGAAGACGCCAAACAAATTTTGATTTTTTTTAATTTTCGAAAAATCAGAGTTTTTAACCAACAAAATCATTTTCTTAAACGTCCTTCAGACTAATCAACAAAATTTTATTAAAACGAATGGAGCGGTTTTTGAGAAAAAATAAATTTATTATTTATTATACAAAAATTAAAACTTTGCTATATTTCACGCAAAATACTCTAATTTTGAGAATTTGAGTTTTCAATCCACATGCGATCTAAGCCATTCTCCTAAGTGTCCTAAACAATTTAAACAAAATCGATGGCGCCATTTTTTTCTTTTGATGTCCCAGGGGCTTTATATAAGGAACCCTCAAAATAAAAATATAGTTTTCTAATTCAAGGAGCCGCGACATCCGCCAGATCGATTGGGAAATATCAATTTTGGAGACAATCAGGTGAACAGTTTAGCCGTTAGCGTTGTTCACAGACGGACGGGCAGTTTTGCAGTCAATCAATTTTTCGGTATCAAGAACCCACAAAACACGAATTTTAGTTCCACCACGTATTTAAGATCCCCCCCCCATAAATTAAGCATCTAGATTTATCTACTTTTCCGTTACCAAGACACTGTAATAAGAGTTTTCCAGCCGAAAATTCGCCGTTTCCTCGCGCAGCGTTACACAACTTTCTCTTAAGGTCCTTCTTAAGCGCGAGAAAGTACAAAGGAATTATTTCAGCAAATGTTGAAAAATGTAAAAAATATCAATATTACGAAACAGTTACCTAGTTCCCCTACCCCTACGTAACGCGGTTTAACGGTGCCTCAGACCCCTTCCCTCTCTTTTGAGTTATATAATTTATGGACGACCCCTGATGTCACGTTCACGAAACTGCTGTTTAAACACAGTAATTCACGTACAGTAATGTTCACTAAACATATCTCATGACGAATAGCATTTGGTGGAGATACCGGTAAACGAATCGATGTGTTGACTAACGGATCCAGTAAAATTTACTAAACACATTGCAGTGAAAATAACTAAATGAATAGTTCCTTTTCATAAATTACTCAACGCTGCTCATTAAGCCCTATTAAGCAAAAAGGTGAAACGTTTTCCTTTTGTCTCAGCAACTGGAGGTCGCGAACGGTCAACCATCCTATAACTCGCCCAACTTGAACGATTTATTAAAGAAATGCGGTAGAGTGGGGTATTTGCGCGCAGTGGTTAGCGTATCGGACTGTTATACGGCGGGTTCAAACCCGATCGAAGCAGTGGAGTTTTAAGGGCGAAAAAATCCTTCGTACGCCTTCCTTCGAAGGGGAAGTAAAGCCGGCTGTCCCATGTTAGTAGATTCACTGGCATGTAAAAGATCAAGCCCAAATGACGCCTCTGAGCTAAATTCAAATCACGTGTTTCTCCCCCAAGGAATACCTTTCTCTGCTAGTGGGTGAAAGGAACGTAGCCAAATTTGAGTGGTCAGACGGAAGAGTCTTATGGCCTGAGTCTCTCCACTTAAAATAAGGTATCAATTCTGATAAATAAAATTAATAAGGTATCAATAAAAAATAAATTAATAAGGAATCTACTAATAAGGTTAAAATAAATTAATAATCAATTCAATTAGCCACGAAATCTGCCACTAGAAATGCCAATCTATAGAGAATCAGTTGTCTCGCAGCTTTCTCAATAATTTGCGTTCCAAGTTTCTCAGGAGTTTGAGGTATCTCCTGTGATGGATCTTCACCTTTGGTCATTTCTTTGCATTTTTTGGAGAAAGTCACGGACATGAGTTTTTGAACAGAAAGCAGTTGCTCAGTGCTCGCTGCGAGTTTTTGCCTTCAACTGTTTATTGTGCCAAAGAGCAGGAAGCCAGGTCATCGCTCAAAAAAGAGGCGCGATTAAGACCGCCCCGTGGAGTCGTACTTCCTTAACCTCGATTACCTGACAGACCCTAGACAAGAGGAACAGTTACGGGCGCTGGCTGCCGACATTTGGTTACGGTATTTCTACCATTAATTTAGAATATAACACAGTTATTTATCAATAAAAAGTCATGTTGTGTAAAAACCTGCATTTTCTTTAACGTATATTGCTATATACAGCGATGGTTTCTCACAGTTCACTAACCATTCGAATAGGTCACATTGCTGAAAACGCAAGCTTCTTAAGCACTTTTTAGTGTCACGACATGAACGTAGATCTCACCGAACGATTTTATCTACGAAACAAGTGTAGTACCACTGACAATTCTTTGTTCAATAATTGTATTTCCTATATGATAACTCACTAAGCATGCTTAGTGCATTCCCCAACATTTCCCTCGGTGCGACACAGCCGCGGGGGCCTGAGGGGTTGTGGGCAGTCGTGCGTAGGATGCGAAGCGCGTCCGCCGACGGGCGCTGGGTTAAAGCCCAGTCACGTGCAAACGTAAGCAAAATACGAGTTTCTATTGGCTGTGAGGCATTCCAGATTACTATTGGTTGGATGTGACAATCGATTTCACGGAATCGACTGTGTATATGGCCCGCAAGGCCCGTTAGTCGTATCGACTTCGCTCCAATTTCGATTCACGATTTTGAGTTAACATGCTGTGATTGGTTCATTTCTTATGTCTTACTTAAGCATAAGCACAGAAGCTAGCTAGCTTTTAAGATGTCTACGTGAAATTCTTACGCGAACACATTGTGAATGAGCCCGCTTGAGGACGTGGTCCTAACTTTTACGTTAACGCCATTCTTGTGTTTATTTTTGCATTGTGACTGGGCCTTAAAAGGGCCGGCTTCGTGATGTCGGCCGCGATGTGGATACCGAAATCATCACAGCCGGAGGCGCTTGCCGTCGCCGCCAGCCGTCTAACTCTCTCACGGACCAAGCACTGCTCGTCAGGGGGCATTGGGCGAAGAAGGTGCGCCTCCACCCAGCTCCGTGTTGTCCGCCTGGGCGGAGAAAAGATCCCAAGTCCGCTCCGAGTGTAACTTGGGCTACAGCGGTGAACGCAGGGCGTCAGCTCGCGTGATGCCGCGTGCCCCCGAACGTAATCCGCGAGAGGAGCCTGGGCGTTGATCTCCACAGCCCCGGGGCCGGGGAGGGCTTACGCATAACGCGCGTCGCACGGTGGCGTTGGGACAGATTTATGGCTCCCACAGACCAGCGCAGAAAATCCGCAGCTTACACGAAATGCTCGCAGAAGTCTGCTTGCCTTATAAGCACGTTCAGTCCTGCGCGGCAGGGGATTTTGTAACGCGGTCGCTGCATTTTCCGCTGGCGCTCGAGTTTCGTTGTGGAAACCAAGGCAAAGACTCGTCAAATGTCGAATATTTTCAGTTCGCAGCGAATTTGACACGACTGAATGGCCATAAAAATATTTCTAATTGAGTTCAGTAATTTAATTCTAAATGACATTATAAATAAATCTTTTTAGGATTTGCTCTAAAAAAGCTGTACATTTTAGAAATGACAAGTTTCAATACATTTATAATTCTATTGAAACACACACGCACGCAAGCGCCCGTTGTGGCATCAAGGACCGTCCTGTTTCTTCTCTAGGTCAAACGGACCCTTTCTTTCCTTAAGATATATGAACAATTTGATGAAAAATCGCAGATGAAGGTAAAAGCACCGTCTCGCAGGTGCTCAGATAACTAGTACGAGTACTGGCATCTTCTATCTCGTGCATGAATAAAGGTGGGCGAGTTTTGTTTATCGGATGAAGAAAACTGACCCCAAACGCTGACTCATAATTGACGCTCCGGTGTGAATGGTCCCGCAGATTTCGTCCACTTACATGCCTTCTGGGCTCGACTGCTTTCAACACAACACTTGACATATACTCAGGTGGTATTTAGACTCCTTTGAGTAATTTTTTCAATGATCACTCCATCTCCAATCGATGCGTCAGCGAACTATCTCCCATGCAGAATAAGTCTGCACCATCTCTCTTTAAAAGCTTTTTTCATTCTTAAGTTCGTTTAAACCTTTTACTCCCACTATCCACCCCATTCATCTTCGACTCTCCTTCCGGGTCGTCCGTCCAAATGTAGCCCCATTGTGCCCCTGCAGGCACTCACCTCGTTCAATTATAACAATTCCCCCTCAGAACTAGAGTTTACCCCCAACTCTTTGTGCCTTTAGGGCATCCTCAGCATATTGAGCGTTCACTTTATGAGTACAACAACTCTTTCACCACAATTTGTACCATTCGAGGCACTCCCCACACAAATGCGTCGCAGACACATTAATTATCTCAATTGATGTGCTTAGAAAAAGTTGCCATATATTTATTTCAATCAACAAATTGTGCACCAATGCAATGCCTTCCACCAAAGGCTAATCAATTATCAATCACCCCTTAATCCTAACTACCGATAGCTCCTAACATATTCCTGTTCGAAAACCATAATTTTTTTACGGGGTGTTATGTTAGAACTCGCTGCATTACTCCGATATTTTATTGCATAACTCCATTGCACATTCTAGAGAACCTGGAGAGCCGGATACCTATCATACACGTTCAACTAGTTCTCTCGCTGCCCACAGGCGTCTCCACAAGCTTGGCAACGCTGGCGTGAGAACGAGGCGGTCGAATCCGCGATCCAGACGCACGGACGTGCGGCTCGCGTCCCCCTCAACCCCCGTGAAAAGTACGTTAGTCCGGATGCGCCCACGCATCCCCACGCTGCTCAGGACATACTGAAACGTTTCTCCGTGGCGAATTAAAACACACTCAAGTAATATTTTAACAAAAAGTTTAATCGGAAACAATGCTACACTAAAATACTTGATTTATTTACAGATAGGTTACACAATCCTTGTGTTCTTCACTTGATTATTTTCCTCACACACGACTCTGCTCTCTTGGTTATTTATTTACACAGTTCACTTCTCTTACACTATCGCACAGTCCGAGGCACTGTCTGCGGTACACTGCACAGACCAGGGTCTACTGCACTGCTGTTCACCGCGATGCACACTTAACATCTCAGCTTCCACTTCAGACAGACTTTTGCACTCACACTGACGGACTGCTTACTGACTACACACGCTGACTGCTACTAGCGGCCGCCGGCAGCGGCGGCGAATTTATACCTGGCCGACCCTCGCCTCGAGCCATCGGGAACGTGCGCTACACCTTTACGCGACTCGCGATTAACCCGGAACCATCCAGTTCGGGGGCGCCGGCAGATGACGCAATCCGCCCAGCGAATCCCGGCAATGTTGCAATACATTTTCTCAACCATCGGAGTCCATAAGGTATATTTTTTACCCCAAAGTTTTATAATTTTTAATTAAAAAAAAACTCTGAGTATTATGTAATACATTACAAATTTGTTTTCTACCAGTATTTATTTTAAACATGGAAGTTACGTGTAATGGTGTATAAGCGTAAGAAAAAATGACGTTTACCAAAATTAATGTTTGAAACCATCATATATACAATTAGTAATGACTATTGATTTTTTCGAATAGCTAGCATTTCTGACATTGATATGACGCTATTATTTGTAGTATTTACTGCATAAAATAAATAAAAATCAGTTAGTAACACGCAGTCCTAAGGGGGACATTTTGGACCCTAAGAGCCAAAATGCTTATTTTAAAACTGAGAAATTATAGCAACATCTCTAAAGGGTGTTTACTCGATGCAAAATGGTAAAAAATTCTCGTAGAGGAAACACGGACACGTAAAAATTGACACAAACAACTTATATACGGTATGGTGTACAAAATGTACCCCCTTCAGACTTCGAGATTAAATTGGCATCACGAGTAATACATGCATTGCACATAACTTGTGGACACATCATCTTCCAGCTATCATGTGGAAATGCTAAGTTTTCCATACTGTGTTTTTATATCGTGTACTTCAAACTGAATTGTTGTCACCACATGCATTTAAGTACTAAAACATTGCATAACCAATTGTTCCTTCATGAACCAGTGAGCTACATGTCTCATACACGTTGCTTCACAACTGAACATTCTCAATTAATAGACGATTATACATAAGTTATCGTTTGGACATAATGCAATACAATGGGCGCTTAGTGAATGTGTGTTCCATTTACATTGCACAATCTAATGTAATTTATAATGTGTTGAGTTCATGCCAAACTAAATAAAAATAAACGGCAGTTAGTAACACGCAGTCCTAAGGGGGACATTTTGAACTCTAAGAGCAAAAATGCTTATTTTAAAACCGAGAAATTATAGCAAAATTTCTAAAGGGTGTTTACTCAATGCAAAATGGTAAAAAATTCTGTGAATGTGCCACAGCCATGAACAGCTATAAACTTGTGTGTAACATAATCTAACATACATGCCAACAACACATCTATTGTGCAACAATGTCTGCTTCCGTGGCATTCACTGCAACTGCTGCAGTTACCAGTAATCAGTCATGGTAAATCTAAACTGCTGATTGCTTCAGTGTATGCCATGCAACTGTAGCCACTTTCTTCTCCAGGCAAATCACATGTGGCTTGTGCGTGCACACTCTAAAAGTCTTCATGACACGTGCCTGTGCACTCTAGAAGTCTATGCTGCAACAGCACATTGATTTTGTTAATGTTTTATATGTTTCTATTCCAGCATTACTGAATCAAACCATATTGCACACCAGGCAGCCTCCAACATCTTAAGTTCCTAAAGCATTACCCGACCTAATTACTTTCTCAGAATGGAGTAGAGAGTAAGTTATGTAATGCTGTGCAGAAAAACACTGAAAGGGAAAAAAGAAAAACCAAGAACACACACACTCCATGTGCGAGTCCTTCTTACCCAAAAATTGAATTATGGCAAAACATCTGTGCACAATGCTAGCAGCTAAACTGCTTACCAGTTTTCACCAAAATTGATATTCCCCAATCCATCTGACTGATGTTGCAGCTCCGTAAGTTTGAAATCGATATTTTAATTTTGGAGGGTACTTTACCCAAAACCACCGGAACATTTTCCAAAAAAAAAAAAAAAAAAAAAAAAAAAAAAAAAAAAAAAAAAAAAAAAAAAAAAAAAAAAAA